TGGAAAATTTCTAAGTTAATGAACGTGTTCTTGTAATGTTCCCTTATATTGGGGCGTTGTCGGAGACACATACCCAAGGTTGTACATATATATGGGGTGGTCGGCTGACCGACTGCTAGTACTAAGGTTGCACAATGACTAGTCCTATATTAGGGACTTAACATAGTAAGGTCTGACGAACCAAAGCATTAATATAGAAGGTCTCTATGATGCATAAGCATTATGATAGCAGAGTTATGACTTGAAGTCCCATATGAATAAGACATACAGTAGTATGGTCTATGAAATAAAGCAAATATGTGGAAGGTCTCAAATATGTAAAAGCATTATATTGAAAGAAATGGGACTTGAAAAGGATTATTATAGTGGCGTGTAGGTTGCTTCGCAGCCTCTGAGACCGAGGTAAACTTGGACTCACTAACCGATGTGTCCTAGACATATCATCTTAGTGCCGGTGGTAAGCGGGTTTGTTGTAGCAATACGACTTGCCCGTGGACATCGCACACCCCTACCGGTTGTGGGCGGCGTCTTAGCGCATAGCGTTATGATACGTCGGCTATCTTTCGGATTAGGGTGAGTGTGTTTGGTAGTACTTTTAAGTGCAGCAAGCATACTCAACTTCATGTCTTAGTGCAATAGCGCTATGATACGTGGAGTTTTGGCTACTGACGTCTTAGTACCGTACTACTATGATACGTTAGTGGTATTTTTAGTTAACAACATTATCAAATTTTGTTACCAAAGTCGATAGGGATCATGTGGGTGTGTTGTGAGGGGGCGTCATCCGTATGATAGTTACATTGATGCTTACTGCTACTTGCAGTATTGTGTCTTGTGATGGATCTGCGGGTGTGCTGCACCTGATTCGATGCATCTTGTGGTTCTGGTCGATGGAGGTATGCGGGTGGTGATGTCTGCTGGGACTGTATGGGGGACCTTGGGATGGTGTAAGCCCGACGATAGTCGTATTGATGCTTGTTGCATTCTGCAGCATTGCGTCTCTACGATGGTTGTTTGGCGGGTCGCTATTCTCAATGGCGCTCTCTGCGTCTTGGTTTGACTCACAACCTAAGTAGCTTTGCCCAAGTCGGGTCCCTTCATTGCGGGGCTGCAGACTGTCTGCCCTCCATGATGTTTTATATAACAACTTAATAATATATCTCTATAAAGTTCCCACCTTTGAGAGATTGAAGGCAACTTGTTGGTGGGTGAGACAAACATGATCGAAAAATGCATATACTCAACGTCAGTGACACAAACCCTTTCTGATGGCGAATTATTAATATTATCTTATAACTGCCTATTGGCTATATCTGCCATTGTATTGGTTGGTGGAGCATATGTGTTGACCTCATGCGGGTGGTAGCTGGAGGGAGAATCTGAGGAGGCTCTCAAGGCTGCGGCCGAAAGCCGCGCAACGTGGGACCCCATTCCCTTGAGGTGAGCGGTAGACTCATGACACGCTCTGCGGCCAATTGGCCGTGCTGACCATGCAATTGGTGGTGATGCCTTACACTTACATCACGTCTGCAGGAACGGCGGTCTGGCAGGTGGTGGCGCTCACGGAAGGCTTTTTATGGTCAGTGTGCCGATTGTTGCCTAACCCGTGTGACGTACATTTCACTGTGGCTGGATTTGATCGTATTCTGTATGGCGTTTACACGCATTGACATGCGCGACTTCGGTCGATGTTTGTGCTTACGCACTGTCAAGGGGCCAAGTCCTCTTTTACTGGTTCGCCAGTTATTTTGCTGTGGACTACGGTCCAGTTCCCAACTTTGCGTACCCTTCGGGGGGAGCGCATTAAAATGGTTGGCGCTCACCGTGCGCGGCGTGTGTGGGGCCGTGTACCTCCTCCACATTTTTTTTAAAATGTGGGAGAGCGAAGCCCTTGTAACTGGTATTTGATATAAATATTGTGAGCCTTTTCCAAGCGGGAAGGGATTAATTAATAAGGAATTGACTGTTGTGAACCAGATACAAGTGGAATAGGGACAATTTATTGTTCTTAACCTTTTTGAGCTCTGTCTTAGTGAACGGGGTTCTCTAGCTTATAAGACTCTACCAACAGCTTTCGATTGCTCTCGTGAATATTCATTCTTCCAAGATACACCTAAAAGAACTAAGTTACTATACAAACATAACGTAAAGAGGGGTCCTAACTAAGACGATCACGCCATAAATTTAAACGGCCTATATTTAAACCTTTAGAAAGATCAAGTTATACTGGTCACGTAAATTTGATATATTTATATATCTTACAGATATAGATTCTAAAGAAATACAAATATAAGTGGGATATAGTAGAAAAGAAAAAAGATGGGGGGGGGGGGGTTCGTTACAATATGCAGAAGAAACAACGTTGGTGATAGCACACAGCCTTGTGGAACACCAGCGTTAATAGGCTTGTAGTCGGAGCATGCACCGTCTACAACGACCTTGATGCTCCGATCTGCAAGGAAGCTGGTGATCCAATTGCACAATTTCTCGAGAAGCCCATAGGAAGGGAGCTTCGAAAGAAGCGCTTTGTGCCAAACCCGATCAAAGGCCTTCGCTATATCCAAACTAACGGCCAACGCCTCCCTCTTGGACTCTACTGCCTCCGCCCATCTATGGGTCAGGTAGACCAGAAGATCACCAGCTCATCGACCCCGACGAAAACCGTATTGGCGGTCACTAATCAGCTGGTGATCCTCAAGGTGCCGCATGAGCTGGTAGTTAATAAGGGATTCCATTATTTTGGAGAACAAGGAGGTGATGGCGATAGGCCTATAGTTGGACGGGTCTGAGCGGTCGCCTTTTTTAGGAATCGGGTGGACAAAAGCTGTCTTCCATGAATTCGGGACTACGCCTTGGGAGTAGGAGTACCGGAAAAGATGCGTTAAGATCGGTGCCAACTCCGGAGCACACGTCTTCAGCACAATTGGGGGGATTCTGTCAGGCCCACTCGACTTATGGATGTCCAGGGAGAGGAGTGCTTTGTGAACCGAGCGCTGTGAGAACAGCACATCCGGCATGGAGCACTCACACCGTGGGATGGTCGGCGGTGTTTTCCCCCCGTCATCAAGAGTACTTGATGAAAACAATTTTTCCTCCCGTTCCCTTCTCCCGCTTCGGGAAAACACTTTTTCTTCCCGCTCCCTTTTTGCTAAAAGGTGGGCTTTGTCTTTTGCGGCATGGGGCAGTGAGTCGTCCTCCCTGTGCAGAGATGGTAGTGATGGCTTACAGAAATTCCCTTGGACAGCCTTGGCGAGAGACCAGAATGCACGGGTTCCCGAAGGAAGTCGAACTAGTTTCTCGCCAATTCTGCCTATGTGCTCTGACTTTTGATAATTACGAAAACGGCATCAATTTTCATATCCAAGATGGTGGATTTTTTTTAATAATACAATATGGATGTCTATTTTAAGTTTTCTGGGGGTGATAAATATGAAAATTTATTAATAAGTATTGTATTTAAAAATTTCAGATGCAAATTATGGATGGAAGTTATTGGAAGACCTGATTTAGTTGGAAGAACTTTCGAAAGCCTAAAGAATCAATTATAAAAAAATAGTAACGTTAATAATAATATGGATTTGATGTCTAGCTTAGAGTATAACCTCTTAAGACCTGAACTTGAACCAAATGTGATTATAATATTTTTATGGTTTGTTATAGTTGTAGGGGTATAAAATAAGACATACAATTGTTTTCCAAAAAAAAATATCTTACACAAGTTAAAAAAACATGGTGCACATATGTGTACCATGTTTGTAACTCTCAAAACAATTATTTTTGAGCACACATAGGTACATATTGCATTTCACACACATGGTGCGGCAGCGTGAGGAGCACGTCGAATGGCGGCATTTTGAGGCGGACTTGCTGTCCACAAATTGCGGCAGATGATCCACACAGTCCAGCCTTATTTCAGGTTGTGGTTGGGGTACAATCGGCCGATGTTTTTTTGTAGGTGGGTGGTCATCGGTACACTGTACTCCTTTGCTGGTAGCAGTCGAGGTGGATCTTGTCGAAGGGCTGGCGCTGGGACAAAATCTGGAGCGAGGAAGCAAGAAGTTGGGTTTAACCTTTCCACCGCTATACTTCATCATCGCTTTGGCTAGATTCAGTCTGTATTGAAGTAAGCCCAACTTGTCTTTGCGTTGTACATTTTTTTCAGTGCAACAGTGGGTGTACATTATCCAGCAATTGACGATAACCAAATCCAGAAAATGGCAAAAAGTTCTTACTGTCCACTTTCTTGTTTGCATTGCACTTCGGTAGTAAGCAATTAGTCTGTCGCACAAATCTATTCCACCCAGGTGTTGTAATTTCTGACTGCTTCCGGCCGGGCTACGTCTATCTTCCGCTTTTCTTTTTTGCACCACCGTTTGCAGGTATCTGCAGGAGCGCTCCCTGAACATGTCGACAACATTGTTACGGCCTTTGTGTCCATCCATTTTACGACACACACATTTTCATCGTCTCTTACTTTTTCATCCCATTGTCTTCTTTCTAACGTCCTGTCATTCTTCAGTTTCTTCGCTACTGGTCCAATCCTATTTGACATTGCAGTTCCAGTTAGAAAAATTGGGCTATCTTTTTCTAGCAAAAGTTCTGCTAGCTTCAGACTTGTAAAAAGTCTATTGTACAAAACGCAGCTATCGTTAATTGTGCGACATAGTTTTTCGACGATACCCGCTCCTAGTCCTAGATTTTTCATTACATCATTTGGTAATGTATCCTTGCCAACATAGATTTCAAAATCCAATACCAACTCGTCTCGGACAGCCAGGTGAAAGTTCTTCAGGCCTAGTGGATTTGGCTTAGCAGGCACGTATTGACAGTATTCACATCGTCCAGAGAATGGTATCATTTGCTCGTCAATTGACATATGTTTAGAGCGTGGCAAACTATGGCATTTTTTCAAAATGGGGTCTATCAGTGGCCTGATTTTCCACAGCTTGTCATTAGCATTTGGTTGGTTTACGTCGACTAAGTGCAGATGATTCCTGAGCTCAAAAAAAACGATCACGATTGATTGTATCTCTAACTATAGGTACACAAAGATCTCTAGTCCAGTAGAGCTTTCCTTGTGGATATTTGAGGGTGCCCATCATCAGTTGTATACCAGCAAAGTGGACCATTTCAATAGAATTTGTATTTATTGATTTTAGATTTCTTTTTTGAGCTGAATATAGGTTGCTCTGTTCTGCTAGTAATCCCCAAAAGTCTAGCCCTAAATACTCAAAAAAACAATACAAAACATTCATGTCTGCGCTCTCTTGTGAAATGAGTACGTTATCTTCAATATCTGGACCACGGCGAGGCATTATGTTCTTCCGCCACAATAATCGTGATGTACTTTGACTTACTTCTTCAGTATTTTCTTCGTCTTGCATCACTTCTTCACGTGCTTCTTCTTCTTCTAGGCTTTCATCTCTAACTTTTGCTTCTTGAGACTCTTGAAGTGCTCTTAAGACATCTGGCGGCAAGTACTCTTCATCATCTTCGTCTCCAGAAAAATCCAGATCGCTGTCATTCAGGAAATCCTCAATCGCCCGGTTATCCATGTTCAAGATGTAAAACGGTCGTATATCATACAAAAGTAATCTTTAGTCCTGAGGTACACATATGTGTACCAATAAAACAACACAACCTTTACACGAATATTTTTTAAAATAAACATAAAACTTACATTTCACACGTTAGTCCAATAATTCAGCAACACAAATAAAGAAAAATATCAAACCAAAGTGAAGGTTTTCTTTTTTTTTATCGAAATTCAAAGATTGCTAGTCGACGTCTTTTGAAAAAAAAAAATTCCAACGAACAAATTTAAATGAAAAAATAACTCCACAAACTTTCTCCGCGAAGTCGTCTATGGACATTTATCGAAACGCTATAACAAGAAGTTTGACATAAAATTATTGAAAAATTGGAACTGTAATAATAAGATTATTAATAAAAACTTGTGTGTATTTAAACTAGTTAAAAAAAATTAACTTATAGTCATGTTATACGTAATTTCTTAATGCGCTTAGGACATGCACAATTGGATTTACCAATATTTTTTATTTGAGGTCGTAAATATCCGGACAGTATGTTGGTCGTGTAGTGAATGTAAAACCAAAAAAATATATATTTTCTTGTTTTGTGTATTTTGTTGCTGTTGTTTATACCGTCTTTGAAAACTACCCTCTATTGTATTGTTTACAAATTCTGTACAAGATCCGGATTCATCATTTTGTGAAATATCTGTAATTATTAATGTTAGTTTAACCTAGTTTAACCTATCAGACGATAACAATAGCAGTTCAATTCACACAAAGAATCAAAATAGTTTGTTTATTTTCTTCATATTTCCACTAATACTTTGTACTATACTAGTATTAGCTATATCGTATCAAAAATCAAAATCCATTTCTAACCATTATGTGAACGAAAATGTAGGAGCAACAATTTTCGAACGTCTCAACTTTCCGTCAAAGCTCATATTAGAACCCGAATCCTATTAGAATTTATGTATTATATTGAATAAAAGAATCAGACCGGCTAGTAACGGTAAAATCAAGTAAAGTTACTGTCTGTATACATCCCACAGCTTGACCTCATGCCCTTCTCTTATTTCTATATATTATGTGGTACTATTGTATGTGTAAACGTGGAGCAGTAAGTTCGCCCCGCTACTGCATTGCGAATTGGAGCACTTAACACATTCTCAAAATAGTTTATTTCTCATAAATGCAAGTTTGCTCAGGATTTTTTCTTCACTGTCGAATACGTGGTATGTCGGCACTTTAAACTGCAACCATTTATACTGTGCTGGAACCAGCAATTCCTGAGTGTGAGCGGAAATTGAACTTGGATTGCACGTGAACTATAAAATTTACGAGTGCCCCATACTACCACGATTCATTGACTTATTCTCCGCTAGTACATGTTTGCATCTGATTGTGGTTATGCGTTTACTTCATTAAAACTACAAATAATGTTTAAATTATTTCTTACTTAATATTTCATTTCTTTCTTAATTTTTTTCTTTATTAATCATTGCAGCCTTTCATAAGTCATATTTTTTTATCATAAGTCATATTAGTCATATTGCTGAACATAGGCCTCCCCCAAGGAATGCCACAAAACACGGTCCTTAGCCACCTGCATCCATCGACTTCCTGCATGTCTCACCAGGTCGTCACTCCATCTAGTGGGGCGTCGCCATACACTTCGCCTACCGGTACGAGGTTGCCACTCGAGAACCTTTCTTCACCATCGGTTGTCGGTTCTTCGAGCTATATGGCCGGCCCACTGCCACTTCAGCTTACTAATCCGTTGGGCTATGTCGGTTACTCTGGTTCTACTGCGGATATCCTCATTTCTAAGTTTATCACGCAGAGAAACCCCGAGCATAGCCCTCTTCATAGCTCGCTGAGCGACCTTGAGCTTCCTCATACGGCCAGCAGTGAAGGACCACGTCTCAGATCCGTAAGTCATCACTGGCAACACGCACTGGTTGTACAATTTCGTTTTCAGGTTTTGAGGCATGTCTAACGAGAATATGTGTCGTAGTTTCCCGAACGCTGCCCAGCCGAGTTGAATCCGTCGATTGACCTCTCGGTCGAAGTTGGACTTACCTAGTCGGACTATTTGTCCCAGGTAAACATACTCGTCAATAACTTCGAGCTTAGTGCTCCCAATAACTACCGGCATAGGTGTGACATGGACGTTAAACATGATTTTTGTTTTGTCCATGTTCATCTTAAGACCTATCCGTTGGGAGACACTATTGAGGTCATTGAGCATAGTGCTCTGGTCTCCCAGCGATTAATAGCTTTATGTTTTTAGTCTACTATTAAGTATATTGGGTCTATGTATTATTAATGACCTACATTACATTTTACAATAAGGGATAACAATGCTATAGTTTCTTATTTTTCTTTTAGAAACGTTACCTCCACACAAAAATTTATCTTGTATCGTGGCATACATACATAATTTCACAAGGACAAACATCCAGACCCGGAACAATTATTTGTAGACCATGCAAATACGTGTTCCGTGCGAGATTCGAACCCACGGCCCTCAGCGCTGCAACTCATTAAGGCCTTTACAGTGGTTGAAATGCCTAAATCTTGGATATTTAAGTAAATTAATCTCAATAACTGTTAATTTAATCCACAAAGAAAAAATACAGGGTAACAGAAGAGGATTTGGTAAATGTTTTTAATTGAACAAAATTGTATTTCTGTCAACCCCTTATTAGAAAAAAAAATCCCCAAAGAGTAACGGTCTTTGTCATATTTTGAAAATTTCTCCAAAACGGCACAAGTTTTTTAAGTAGTTCTTACACTAAAAAAAAATTATCTAATTTTATTTCTAAATTAAAATATATAATATATATCTTAATAATATTAATATTTTTCATTGAGTTTTATTTTTATTCCCCGTTTTATAAGAGAATATATCATTTTTCCCTGAAATTGAATATATTTTCGCGAGCGCGCATGCTCCGTCGCACTGTCGCAGTTCGTCCGACATCGTCGAGGGTGGACTGCGCGTCGGTGTTGACACACACACACACACACACACACGCACACACACACACACACACACACACACACACACACGCACGCACGCACACGCACGCACGCACGCACGCACCCAAGCACGCATTCACGCACGCACGCATGCACGCTCGAACGCACGAACGCACGCACGTACGCACGCACGCACGCACGCACGCACGCACGCACGCACGCACGCCCGCCCGCGTTTCAAACAAATGTGAAAGGGCTTTTATCTGCAATAATAATTTTCATCAAAAGTAACATAGACTTATAAAAGTCATATACACGGTCAATCATACTGAAGATTATTAATAGTACTACAAAATATTTAATAGAATATTTGCAGTATAATAACCTGAATATCATCATTAATGTTTGACTAGCACACTTAAAAGTTTTATCACATGGCTAAATGATTGACTATTATAGTATGATATGCTTTTCTATAAAAAGTTGCAAGAAATTTTAAATCACGGACCTATTGGTTTGTTTTACTTTTTACTTAGTAAAAAACAAGATGGACTGATCTAAAAGTTTACTTTTTTGTGTAAAAACTGCTATTTAGAATTTTATGACTTACTAATGACTTAATAATGACTTTCAATAAGTATTATGTAATAATCCATATTGAATAAAAATCATTCTATTCTATTATATAGTTATATAGTTTCTATGTAAATAAGTGTAACTTTTTTTTATAGGATAAGGATGACAAACGAGCACACAGTCCACCTGATGGTAAGTGGTTGCTGCGGCACATAGACATCTACATCTATCGTCTATTACAAATCAAAATGCAGATGCGTTGTCACCCGTGAGGACTAAGATGGAATGCCTCATTTCCAGTAAAAAGGGCCTCCGGCCACCTGCACTCACCAAGCGAAACGCAGAGGTAAACCTCTACTTCACGCTGGTATTCTGTGAGGTCGTGGTACACCCCGGTTCGAGCCGGTCCATCCGTGCGACAGCAAAAGCTGCCGCGTGGCTCTACCACTGCTGAAAACATAACATAGCGGGTATTATATTCAATGGTAGCGGCCATCCATATTTGCAAAGCCAGCATCATTTTCTGTCCAGAAACCGGTTAAGTGTTGCTCAAGGCACTATAAACAAAGCAGCTGATAAAATGTTACACTCATAACTATTAACAAAAACTGTTTCTGGAAATGGTCTTATAGATAATAATAACTATTCCGCCGTGTTAGGTGCAGGAGCTATTATTAGAAGGAGAAGAGGTAAAATTTTGTTTTAGAAATGCGTAATCAATATTGTTTTGTCTGCAATTGAGCATAAAATAAAAAATAACTTCAGCCAAAGAGCATAACTGGCATTATACTCAGGCCCATCAATTGGCTTGAGCCATCAATTGGTATGGAAAAAAATAATTTTACCAGGTTTCAAAAAATCAATCAAAATTCAAAAAACATAAATATTAAAATCAAAAAATGTATATATGTATGTCTATACATACAGATAATGATTTATGGCCGCTTAGTAACTGAGGGTGACTCAGTATAACATCCTACAGTCACGCCGAAACTAATAGGAGAGAATCACTGTAGAAAAGGTAATAATTTATTGCGGAAATTTTGTGATAAAATTAAAAAAATTACAAACTTATCCATGTTAATATAACTTAGTCTAACTTATGCTTAAGAGTTACAAAAAAAAAAACAAATAATAAAATAGTGAGATGGCGTCAGTTTTTAAGAAGATTGTTTAGCCCGAACGCTGATTTCGGGATTGACGTTAGAGGGCGCGCGGCTCGGCGATATCGGTTTGAAGTTCGGCCGAGCGTGGCAAGTGGCGCGCGGGTCGCAAGCGCAGCAGTCGTCTGAAGCTGTGCTAATGTCTGCAAGCTGTTAATTTTGTGCGGGAACCGCGGAATAGTTAGGGCGTCTAGTAAATATCCTGTCTAGGAATTATAACGCGCATTCCCTGTTTGGATAGCCTTTCCCGGGACTTATTGGGTCCGACTCAGAATCTGTATAAGTGCATTCGACAAT